TTGTCATTATGTCCAGAGAAGAGTAGGTGAACAAGAGAACAAAATACTAAAATGGCAACCACGACTCCAGAAAAATATACACTAAACAAATCAGAAGGGACTGAAACCAGGGAAAAAACTGCCACCACCACCACCAACAAAGTTTAAAGAAAAAAAAAAAAAAAAGAGAGGGACAGAGAGAGATTATAATCAGAGAGGTGAACGGAATAGAGCAGTACACTAGATCCTGTGTGTATTTTGGTCTGTTTGTTAGAAAACTAGATCCCAATATTGTAAAGAAAGAAAGACTTATTTATGTACAAAAATAAAATGAAATATAATGAAAGGATAGGATATAAGTGTAAAAATGAAAATTAAGAGACAAAAAAAAGAGTATAAACTGACAGGTAGACAGAACAGAGCAGTACACTATATCTTGAGTATATTTTGGTTGGTTTGTTAAAAGAAACTACATCTCAAAATTGTAAGAAAAAAAAACTTGTATATGTTCAGAAATAAAATTAAATACATTGAAAGAATAGATTGTAACTGTAAAGATAAAAATTAAAAAAGATTTTAACAGGGGCGCCTGGGTGGCTCAGTGGGTTAAAGCCTCTGTCTTCGGCTTAGGTCATGATCCCAGGGTCCTGGGATCGAGCCCCATATCAGGCTCTCTGCTTGGCAGGAAGCCTGCTTCCCCCTCTTTCTCTCTACCTGCCTCTTTGCCTACTTGTGATCTCTGTCAAATAAATAAAATCTTTGAAAAAAAAAAGACTTTAACAAAACAAAAGAAGAAGAAAAAAAAGAGAGAATATGATGAGAAAGGTGAAGAAAACAGAGACATACTCTACATTCTGGGTGTATTTTGGTCTGCATCCCAAAATCATAAAGAAAGTAAAACTTAGATATATACAAAAATAAAATGAAAGGAGAGAATGTAACTGTAAAAATGAAAATTAAGAAAGATTTAAAAAAGTGGATAAAATAAGAAATTGAAAAAGGAAAGAGAAAAAAGTTAAAATTGAAAGACTATACAATTGTAGGACATAAACTAGGAATTCTCTATGCTATATTTCTGTGGTGCTGAAGTTTTACAATTCTTAGTGATTGATAAACTTGGTCTTGGCTGGATGTTTGTGCTAATATTCTGGGGAGGTGCCTGTTGCACTGATTCTCAAGTGTCTTTGCCCTGGTTGGAATTGTACTGCCCTTGCCAGGAGCCAGGGTAAGTAATCAGCTCTGGATTATTCTATGTGGCTTTTGTTCTTTGTAGGCTTTCTGTGCTGCTTTAGAAGATAAGAATGTAAATGGCAGCTTCCCATCTCCAGCCCCAGAGCCAAAAGCTCTGGGTCTCATTCCTCAGGGCACCCTCAAGAAAAAGCAGTTAATCACTCCTGTGTTCCTCATCTCCATCTGCTCTCTGTGCTCACTCAGCCTGTGACTGAATGTTCATATTACAGGCATGTGACCCCGCTTTGAGTCTCCAATCTCTGCAGACTCCTGTAGTGTGTATCTGAGCTGCTCCTCCTGACGGAGGAAGGAGCATCTTGCCAGTTCTATGGCTTGTTGGGCTCCTGCTTGGAGGGCAGTTGCCCTACTATAGCATGGTTCTTATGGCAACACTGAGCTGAGAGCCCACTCCTGGGATCGTTGATTATAGCCAGCTTCCCTACTCTGATGCCTGCCACACTCAGGCACCCCTGCTTTTCCAGTGATCCCAAGCATCCTGAGACCACAATATCCCACCTAGGATTCTGCACCTCTTTGCCACCTGACCATCTGTCAGGCAGGGACATTCCTCAGTGGAGCAGACTTCTAAAAGCTCTGATTTTACACTCCACTGCTATATCACTTTCCTGTAGCTGGCTCCCATAGGCTCCCTCCCCTCACAGTTTATCTCCCCATATATAGCCTCAGATTCACTTCTCCACACCTCCCACCTTGCAGAAAGTGGTTGCTTTTCTATTTGTAGAGTTGCAGCTGTTTTTTCTTAGATCCCTGGTTGATCACAGGTGTTTGGAATGATTTGAGGGCTATCTAGCTTAATTCCTGGGACAAGGTGATACTAAGGTCTCCTATTCCTCTGCCATCTTGGATTCTCTCTGTGCTTCAGTTTAGATATTTCCTTCAAAGGTATCTTTCAATTAGCTAATCTTTTTTTTTTTTTAAAGATTTTATTTATTTATTTGACAGAGAGAGATCACAAGTAGAGAGGCAGGCAGAGAGAGAGGGGGAAGCAGGCTCCCTACTGAGCAGAGAGAACCTGATGCGGGGCTCGATCCCAGGACCCTGAGATCATGACCTGAGCTGAAGGCAGAGGCTTTAACCCACTGAGCCACCCAGGAGCCCTCTTTTTTTTTTTTTAAACTGGGTTTCAAATGCCATTACATTGATCTAAGTTTTCAATTTCAGATATTCTGTTTTTTAGTTCTAGAATGAATTCTATTTAACTCTTTCCAAGAATTTCACTTCTTAGGAGAAATTCTCCATGTTTTTAATTCTCCTTTTTCATTTTTTTCTTCTGTTTCCTTGAACACATTAATTATACTTATTTTAAAATTCTATGTACTAACTCCAATATCTGGATCACCTATGAGTCTGTTGTTATTTTCTGTTATTTTTTTTCTTGAGTTTCGATCAAACATGTCTGTCTTTCAGCATGCCCACTAATTTTTAATAAAATCCCAGATATTGCATGCAATATAGACTTTAAATGGTGTCACGATCTACTAGAGAGATTTTATACTTTCCTTTGCAAGGCAGATAAAAGTCAGAGATCACCTTAATCCAGTCATGAATTACAGTAATTATATTTTTTTCTAGGGCTTAGTTTACCTCTGATTGTTCATTTTCTTAAGTGTAGTCCTCTAGGGATTTCAGCCCAAAGCCTGATGTCTTCAAGATCCCTCTTTGTCAGGTTCTGAACTTCAGTATTTAATGCCCCTGTGATTTGGCTTAGACTTCTTTTTTGGCAGAGAGAGAGAGAGAGAGAGAGAGAGAGAGAAAGCACACAAGCTGGGGGAGCTGCAGGCAGAGGGAGAGGGAGAAGCAGGTACCCCTTTGTGGGGTTCTATCACAGGACCCCGGGATCAAGACCTGAACCGAAGGCAGACACTTAACTCACTGAGCCACCCAGATGCCCCTTGGCTTAGATTTTTAGCATCACCCCATCCCTTATCCCCTGGGAAAGAGCTTTAAGGGGAAACAGATCATGTGTTTTGAGGCTCCTCAAACCTGTGATTTTGCTATTCTGGCTTAATAAGACCACAATGAGCTTTTTCTCAGTTCTTTAACAGCAACCTCTGCCAGATCAAAACCCAAAAGTCTTTCTCTGTTACCTGTTATGAGTAAAAGCCACTGGGAGAAAGCACCTACAGAGTGATAGCTTATCTTTCAGAGGTTCTACCGTCTTTAGAACCATAACCCCTCTTGTCTATGCTGTCTAACCAACATTAAAAGCATTCACAACTGAATGGGGCCTTTAAAAATAAGATTTTCTTATATTTTATCTGGATTAAATTATTTTTGGAAAAATGTGATCTTCTGCAAACTTATTCCCTCTAAAGCCAAAGTCATCCAATGACTGATTCATTTTCTGAACTTTTACCCATAAACAGTAAAATTGCAAGACATGGGTACCTGGATAGCTCAATTGGTTAAGTGTCTGCCTTTGGCTCAGGTCATGATCTAAGGGTCCTGCATCCAGCTCCCTGCTTGGCAGAGAGTCTGTTTCTACCTCTCCCCCTGCCCTTTCCCCCAACTTGTGGTTACACTCCCTCTCTCTCTCTCTCTCAAATAAATAAATAAAATCTTTAAAAAAATTGCAAAATGCTTTTGAATTTATCTATACTATAATTTCTAATATCATGTACATGATAATAAAATTATTATAAAAGTAAATTATTTTTTCTGCATCAATAAATATAAAACCATACAAAATAATAATGCTGGCTCAGATGTTCTATATTTGAAGGCTTTTACAAGATGTGATTGAGTTTTCTGTTTTTGAAAGCGCTAAAACCTGTTTTTTTTTGTTTTTGTTTTTTTTTTTTTTTTGAGTGACTAGGTAGGAATAATATTAGAAGAGTGGAAAAGCACCAGCTTCAGCATTTAGGGTAGAGAGGCATATAGTTTCAAAGATACAGTATGTGAAGGATGGATATTTTAGTAGATTAATTTTCTTCATAAAGTGAAAAATAGATACCTATTTTACTAGGTATCAAATTCTGAATTATTAAATATGAATGTCAAATTCTGAAATAAAAACAGTGAAGTGTATAAAAATGGAAAAATAAATTCTCATTTCTTTTGTATACATAAAGAATGTTACTACTAGTTATAGAGTTTAAAATATTAAATGAATGCAAATGACCAAATTGTATGATGAATCAGAAAGAGTATAATATCACAAGGATTAATTAATTGCTAATTAAAATTTTAGATTACCAGCTTCATTTAGCCTATTAATTTACATCTTCAGTGTGTGTAAGGAATTACAGTATTCAAGAGAGTGTGGATCATTCTGCTTAGAAAATTTATTAATGAAAGGATTTCCACATAATCAATTTAAATAATTACTGTTAATATGTTTTTATTTTATATATTAGTAATTGAGTACCAACAAATAATGCTATATGATTGGCTAAATATCTTATATTCATATATGTTATGAAACAACAAAAATTGATGTCCGAATCTGATATCACAGTATAGGTAATAACTCACTCTTAATGTGTTTAAATAATGTATGTAGATCCATCCTACTTTTCTTGAGTTCCATATAATTAACTCTTTTTTCATTTTTACATCTCATTGACTTACAGTCTTTTACTTCTATATCCATCAAGGTAAAGAAATTATTAAAGTCTTTTACTTCTATATTTAAAATTTTTAATGAATATGTCTATCTCTATTTAATGATAGAGCAACATTGATGTACTTTCTTGAAAATGTATCACTTACTGTGCCACTTGAATTGATAAATAGAAATGATATACTCTTTTTATCCCTTCTTTTCCTATGCTTTTTGGAATTCACAGATTGGTGGAATTTCTGATGAACTACCAAACTTGACTAACTGCTATGCTGCTTTCTTGTCAAGAACACAAAGATCTACTAAACTGTCAGATATGGTAAGAAGACTCCTCTAGATCCAAATTTATTTGAAATCTAGAAATCATGGAGGAGACTGTATAACATGAACCGTATATTAGGATCTGAGAGAGGTACCTGGTAGGCTGTTGTAAGGTCTTTGACTAGCATGATACTTCCATGTTTTTAAAGTTCAACAAGATTCTTGAAGCTAAGCAGAAGTCCATCATTGCTCTGTGAAAGACTATTATATGGAAGATCTTCTGTAGGGTTAGGGAACATTTGTTTTTAGGACATATAGAAAATCATAATCATTTTGAATATAAAGTGAAAGATTTACTTTAGGTTCAACTCAGTTTATTCATAAGTGTAAATTTTTTCTTTTCAGTTTGAATCTGTCTTGCAACCTAAGTCTCTTCATTGAGTGCCTTTCTTTAATTCACGTTAATCTGTATTTTAAACTATTGATATGAATTTTTCTAACTAAATTTCCATTTTTTATAAATACCTAATATTGAATAAGTTGAGATAAGTAAAGCAGATGACATTTAAAAGTGAATACTTATTCATTAAGAATAAATTTACTAAAAGATCAATTTGAAATTTACAGTTAAAAAGTTAGACTTCCATGTACAGGTAGGTATTGTTAAAATGAATTTTTATAGAAATTGGGCTGAAATTAATAATAGGAAATTAATAAGATATTATTAATAACATATCAAAACAGGCTCATTAACCAGGTTTTACAGTGTAGCCATTAACTTGAGAAGTAGCATTGGTTGCTGAAATAAAATTCTAATAGATGCACAATGCCAAGAGTTGATTTATGATGTTTTCATGGTGAAGTAACTGGTATAAAATTAGGAAGAACTAATTTAAAGAAAGGATAAATACAATGTTAGTGAAATTAATATAGCTGTGAATGTCTCAGAAATCATAGGAATTAATTTGGTCAGAGCCATCAGAAATGGGCTTATTTTTTTCTGACCTATCAGTTTATTGAATCTTATTTTTTTCTAAGACATTGGTTGATGGGGTCAGAATTAGCACCAGGTTCTATGACTTTTTTTTTGTAGCTATAAATTCAAAGATAGTTAAAATCATCCAGCAGTGTTCTTGACATGTAAGAGATTCTCATAATTGTTAAATAACTGTGGTTTTTAAAAAAAAATGCATTGTTTTAATAGATAATTTCTTTATCTTGAGGAATTTTATGGTTGTGTTGTGTTTCTCAAGTGAGTCAGTATACAAATTAGGATCCACTGTGAAGTATGTCAGAAGTAATTTATTACTAGTATAAAGGTTTTAAACATAAGAATATCTATTGGAGTCATAGTTGTTTCTATTGTAATATGTAGCTACTAGAAAAAAAATGCAAGTCTCTGAAGATGCCCATAGGAATGCATATGTATGTGCTTAATGTTTGTAGTGAAACAAGATGGTGATGTGCCCTAAAGAAAGATGAGTTACTTTACCAATTGCTTTTACTTAATTTACATTTTTCTCTTTTAACTTGGTCTCTCACTGGATCTGGAAACTCCTTTTTTAGTATTTTTTTTTTTTTTTGACATGAAACACTTGCAATTTAAAGTATTGGGTGGGACTTTGCTTACCCAAGAAGCAAAATAGTTTAATCACATGGAATACTTTGGTTTTAGAAACTCTTCTGCACAAAAGATACTCTTCAAACATATAGGTGTATAATATATATAGCATGAGAAATCCAAATTATTGATCCCAGATCAAAATTAATCTTAAACTTTTGAAATAATGGAATTAATTTTATAATTTTCACATAAAATAAAAATATTAGAAAATTTACCTCCTATATTTTAAGGGTATATAGATTGATTTTCAACATTTATATGTTTCACATAAAAATATTTAAAAACTCAGGCTTCTGGTTTCATATGAAGGACATATACATACATCCTTCTTCCTTTTACATGGTCCCAATGAAATTGTTTTTGTTTTTTTTCTTTTAAACTACAACATAGCATTAGTTTAATATAAAAGAACAAAGAGATTAAAAATATGATAAACGGAGGCTAGAAACAAGCCAAACATCTGTTTATTAGGCATTTCATAAATGGAATGCTAAGATAGTAGTTAGGAGTATTTGTTATAAAAAATGTTAAATTGTCATGAACTAAATAAAGACAGAAGTCTTCAGTTAGAAGAACTCAACATACCAAGGAGGATGAATTTTAAAAGACATAAATCCCTTTCACATTGTTTTGCATTTTCAGAAGACTAGAATTAAAATACCCTTGAAGCTTCCACAGAGAAAAGCAACTGGGTCACCTACAAAGGAATGAGAAACATACTGATATCCAACACTTTCCCAGAAGCATTAGCAGTATTTCAGAACTAGGAGATAATGGAATAACACTTTCTTGAATTTCCAAGAGGAAATAAATTTGGATATAGAATTCTGCCTTTATCCAATATAAATCCAATTAAATGAGTCAAGAGAATAATTTTCTGGCATACAAGAACTCAGAAAGTTTTGTACTTCTACATTTCCATATGTAAAGATGCTCCAGGAAAATATTAAAAGAGAAATGAGAGACTGATGATATACCCCTAGAGAAGAATAGAAACTGAGCATTTCATGGATGAAGTAAAATGAAAACAAATTAATAAAGAAGCCATTTTTTAGCTCATTTATGTGTCATTCTTGAGGAGTCATGGATTTGGTGGCAGAATTTCATTTACTTCTGTATGTGTCTGGCCACACGATTTGGTTTGATAAGGAATAACCATGATATTTGAATTTCTGTTTTAATACTGAGTGGTTTTAGATCAAGCTATACAAATTGCAGAGAGCTTAGTTATAATATAAAAATATAAATATTAGAAAACTTAATATCAATAAAACAATAAAAGCAAGAAGTGATAGGTTAGGATGCAGTAAAATGTGTCAAATTTCTTATAGTACACTGAGTCAAGAGATGTCAAATATTGACAGATCACAGTATAAGTCCTTATATTAAGTTTGTAATGGTAAATACAAAGAAAAAGCCCTCTAAGAAATCCAATTAATGTTAAATTATTTCTGGGAATAGAACTAGAGAGAGGTCAAAGAGAACAATTTTACTGTTCATTTTAGACTCATATATGATTTGATTTTTATTTATACTGTGAATATATTATTTTAAAATAAAAATAAAAATAGTACTCAAGAGTTAATGATGAGTATATATTTGGAATGGTATGATCTACTGGTACCTGGACTGACCCATTCTCTGCAAACAACCAAAATTTTAGATAGAAACAAATATATTCACGAGTGCTTCCAAGAATTAGGAAGAAGTTAGGAGAAGACAGGCTAAAGGCTAAATTAAGGAGGGGCCCAGAGTGGCAAGTAGAGCCCTGAAGTTCAGTTTTACCCTGAGGAACTTTGCCGAACCAAATGACATTGAATTTTAATTTTTATAGCCTCCAAGGCCTCCAGAGAATAAAACAAAGCCTCAGGCTCTCCCACAGTGGGTAGTCTCAAAGAAGATTCATTAATACAGTTAAAACTCCAAAGGGTAAGCTGTGCAGGTTAAAAGTGAAATGCATATAAATCTAACTTTCCTACCCACCAGAGGATTTGAGAGAAGTAATTGGTATTGGACACTTTGGTTTTGAATGTATTTTAGGGGAATCACTCTTGAAAATCTGTTACATTTTATATTCATTTAATGATGTGAATTGTTAAAAATCATAAAACATCTGTCACACATATTAACAAAATTAATTTTATTAATAAAAATAAGAGCTAATGCTTATATGGTGCTTATTCTGTACCAGGCACCATTCCAAATGCATAGTAGCTCATTTGAATACTACAGTTATGGTCATTTTTAAAAATGCGGAAACTGGAGAACACCTGGGTGGCTCATTTGGTTAAGTTAAGTGACCAGCTTTTTCTTTTGCCTTGGTTCATGATCTCAGGGTCTTGGGATGGAACCCCACGATGGGGCTCTGCTCTCAGCAGGGAGTCTGCTTGAGGATTATCCCTCTCCCTCTCTCTCTGCCCCTTCCCCACTTGTGTGCATGTTGTCTGTAGCTCTCTTCAAATCAATCAATCAATCAATCAATCAATCTTGAAAAAATGAGGAAATCAAGGCACAGAATTTAAAGTTTCAGTGACAAAGTCAGAATTCAAACTGAGGCCGTCTAGCAATCGAATTTACCCTTTTTGTGTTATTTTCCTCTGGACTGAAGAATTAGGGTTACAGAAAATAACTATGACAGTATAATAAATGATTTTTATGATTTAAAACAAAAGAGATAAGACTGTGAGTATCTCAAACATTATTGTAAGGAATAGAACCTTTTTTAAATGCAATTTCTGTTTAGCAGAAACTGGTAGAAGATTCAGCATTATGAACAATATTGAAGTTAATAACGTTCCTCTAGTTACTGAGAGACTAAAAGTTAATGACTATCAATTAAGTGGGAAAGTAACTGGAAGAATTTGATATACTTTCTTAGGTCACTTCACATCTCAGAAAGGGGCATCATTTGCTTAATTATAGTTGGCATTAAAAAAATCAAAAAAATTAGAAAAACATTTTCTAAAAATTAAGAAATGACTTGAATTTATTAGGCTTATTTGTTGAATAGTTTGTACTACAACACCTATTACTTGATAAACAGGCTTGTAATACAGAGAGTTGAGAATGAAGGGAATTTTAAAAATAAATATTGACACATATTTATTTATATTTTAATTTATATTAATTTGTGTTGTTAAATATTTTGAATATCATCCCTGAATAGGTTAAAGTTTAAGAGCAAAAGCTTTGGAATCAGAGAAATATTGTTTTCTTCCCCCCCCAAGTTTTTATTTAAATTCCAGCTAGTTAATATACAGTAGTATGGTATTAATTTCAGGCATAGAAGTTAGTGATTTAATACTTAAATACAATATCTGGTGCTGATCATGAGGGTTCTCCTTAATCCCCATCATTTGTTTAACCTGTTTTTACCCCCACTTCCACCTCCCCTCCAGTAACCATCATTTTGTTCTCTATAGTTAAGAGTTTGT